TTCACAGAGTGTCGCGATGCGAGTCTTGTCAAAGTGAGAGAACATGTCGTTTCCGAGGATAGCATCGGCAACCTGGGGAGCATTCATCAAGTTCATCTCCAAGAGACGAGTCTGAAGGTGACCCTGGTCAGGTCTGTTATCCTTGAGAGCATCCAGCAAGAAAGCCGTGGCTTGCTGAATCATGCCCTGAGACTGGAAGATGTCGACCACTCTCTCGATATCGACCAGGGAACCGCCCTCATTGTTAGCCAAGGCTGTGGCGAATTCTGCACCCTTCTCCGGGTTGACACGAACGATGTGCTGGAGGAGTTGGACGTAGTCAGGCTGATAGTTGGCCTGGGAGGCATAGGGCAGGATCTTCTCGAATTGACCCGTCTCAGCAAAGCCAGCAACTACCTTGTGAGGGATGTTGGCCTTGAGATAAAGAGTGAGAGCCATGTTCAGGTCGTGAGGGCGGACAAGGTCACCAAGTCTCTCAGACGCAGTCAACTTGCCCTCCTTTTGCCATTTCTCCAACAGGTTGAGACGGTTCTGAGCGAGAACGGGCTGTGCAAGCTCAATAGACTCGTGCTCGTTCAGGGCACCCTTGTCAAGCAGAAGGCCAAAGTATTGCAGGACAAAGGACATTTGACCAGGCTGCTGGGGGAGCGACTTGAATCTCTCGATCGTCTCGGCGGTTCGAAGGAATTGTCGGGGAGAGTTGGCCGCGATCTTGGCAGCATCCATGAACTGACCGCTGTTGAAGAGCTGCTCGAATTGACGAGCATACAGATTATCAGCACCGGGGAGGCCAGCTCGTGATGCCATCTTGATAGCCATATCGGTGTTGGCCGGGTTCTGGAGAAGGTAGGGAATAACGTTGGCGTCGTCGATCGAAACGAAGAGCACTTGACCCTTGCGGTTGATGCCCACAATACCGCGAGACTCGTTGTCGGGGCAGGTGGTGAAGATGGTATCGCTGGAAATTCGGTTCATGAAGATGCAGGCGGCGGTCTCGAGGTCGTAGACGTGGATGAATCCGTACTTGGTGACCATGAAAATGACACCGTACTTCTGCGACACCTGCATAGCCACAGGGAAATCGCTGACGGCTTCGGGAGGGAAGAAGATGTCGACGGCCTTCTTCTGGAATACAGGGTTTGACTCGGCGTGATCGACCTCGACGATGTGAAGCTTCGCGCCAGTAGCGGTTCTCACAGCAAAGGTGAAGAGCTTGGTGTCGGCGGGAGCACCCTCCAGGCGCAGCGAGCCGAAGGCCGCAGCGTGACCCTCAATGGCCTGGCTGATGCCACGGTCCTTGGAGTACAGCTGCATGGCACCAACCACGCGGCCCTGCTGTTGCGAGATACCAACAACCACCATCCACTTGCCCTCGGCGTTGGTTCGGTAGTTGATGATTTGGCAACCCTGGTTGGAAGTATTTAGCAGACAGTTCGGTGACATGCGGAGGATGGAGGAAGCATTGCACTCACGTTGAGGTTAGCATTGCGCTTGAAGACCTCGACGGGCTGGGCCTGACTGGGGTCGTAGACGTCCCAGTGGTAGACTGCTGAATCTGTAACCAGGCCCAAAGTGGTCTCGCTGATCCACTTCCAGTACTGGACGTCCTCGTTCATTGTGGTGGACTTGAGTTTCGCCTTCTTCTCGAGATCGAAGATCTGCAGTGTTCTCGATTGCGCCTTGAGGGCGATGACTTGACGAGTCCAGTGCATGATGGCACTGTCGGCCTTGATGGGGCGCCGTGTGACATTGTTGCCGTTCTTCAGGTCGACGATGACAACTTCGGGTTGGGCAGCTTCGTTCTTCTTTTCCCGAATACAGACATAAGAGTCTGACTCGAGTGTCTGGAGGAAAACAAGTCAGTCATGATGATGCCATTGAGCAGGGAGATGGTCGGGCGGTGATGGCTCACGCAGGAGTTGAAGCCGATGGAAGCGTCCTCGACACCGGCAGTCTGAAGCTGGATCAGCTCCTGGAACTTGATCGGTAGTGGCGCCATGACTGGCGTTATGTGTGACAAGAAGCTTCCAGAGACCAAGTTGCGCTCCTTAGCAGGGTTGTGTCAGTTCGCGGATTCGAATCGGGCAGCTGATCGGGTGTCGCGGGATTTCGTGGATACAGCGACGTGGATGTCGTGTATTTGGGAGAGAAAGGAGTAGGAGCTGGGGATAGCTTCCTTGCGACCCGACTGAATGCGCACAAGGCAATTAATACAGGGAAACAAAGAGCGGTAAAGAGGAGGCGTAAATACGGAGTAACGATGCACCTCGCAGTGATGACAATCTGGAGGGCAAACGGTGATGATGTTGTTTTGTTTGGGGCGGTGGTGGTGGTGGTGGTGGGAGGAATGGGAATAGGAAAGATGGGTACGGGATACGTAGTTCGCTTGTGGTGAGGTGGAAGGTTGGAGATTATTTTAGGTGCAGTACCTTACGTTGCCTGTTCGGTTCGTTCCTGCCAGTCCAGTGCCAGGTTGTTAGGTGCGCACTGAACCAGGTGCGCGACGCCTAAGGTCTGTGGTTTGCTGCCAGCTTTCCATCCTCACTGCTTGCTGGCCACTGGCCAGGCGTGCCAGGCTTGCTTGCTCCTGCCGGTCCTTGCTGTCTTCAGCCAAGTCTCCACCCATCTGGACCGTGCACTTGGCTCTTCAACCTTCACTGGCTGGATGGCCATAGGCCTGTCACGTGGTTATCTTGCTGAGGTGTCCGTTTCCAGGTTCCTGGCCGGAGGCATGTTTGACCGGATGTGGGATGACATAAGCGATTGACACACCTCTCAAGTCCGGCGACCCGACCAGCCAGGCTCCGAAGGCACACTTGGGTTTCGGATACCTTGAATAAATATGGCAAGGCAAAAAGTGCTCAGGTGGTTGGAAGTCAAGGCAAGAGAGTACGAGGAAGTCTATATAATACTCAGAGCCATGCCCCCTAGTTCACTAAAAACTACTCTGCACATATTCCAGCCATCTTGCACTAATTCTATCACACTCGCAAACTAAATGTAATTCACTTTCTGCCCTTCCTTTGCGGAACAACTCGACTCTAAGCTCAATTAATCACTCATATCTCACATTGCCATACCGACCAAGAGGTTGTCGACATTCTGATGTATGAACGATATTTCACAGCAAGGCACAGGCCCAAACTATTGAGCAAGTGAAGGTCGGCCAGGACTGCCTCAAGGCCGGGGTCAGCCACTTTGAGTAAGCTCCGTCGTAGTGAAGCGTTGAGGCTTCACTTTGCCTCCAGCAGCAGGTACGAGGGGATCACTGTGGAGGTAGGTGACAAAGCTGAATGGCGAGGCTGGGGATCGCGGGAATGCTATAGCAATACAATGTTGGAATGCATCTACCCGATGGCACTGTTAGAACCTGGCGAAGATCTCTGCTAGTCATGAACTCAGCTCACCTGCGATGATCGAGCCGAACCTCGTCCTGCTTGCACGCTTCCCATTCATGTGCCACTTAAACGTCGGCTGTGAAATACACACTCTTGTTCATTAGATCGAGGCAGTGTTTGATGATTATTGGCCACTCCTCTGTGTCATCACCATTCCATATCGTTTCAAGTCTGCTGGAGCCTGGGTAAAAGATCACGGCCTCGACTGGGCTGATATCCAAGTGACGCAATCAAGGCTTGACCATTGCATGCGCGAACACCTCTCTGATTTCCCGAAAGGCACGAGTACTACGCTCGTCGGAAAAGTCGAAGAAATCGTACAGGCTAGCAATGTGCCCTTCGAGCAGCGCCGTTCAGTCCTCAAGTAGCAACTGTCGCAGATGCAGAGATACAGCGCGGGTGAAGTGTACAATGCAGCGAAGACCGAGCCTGATTGACAATTCGCCGGCGTGGATGAATTCGTTAATACTGTGGGAAACCGATCGAACACGGGTTTGCGGATGTTGATGGAAGGTTCCTGTCATAAGGAAGCCCATGATGAGGCCAAAAGCATCAGCATCTTCACTTGACAGCTCGTACGAATAAGGACGCGGTTTGATCTTCTTCCAATGGTGTCTTTCTAGGCAGAAATCAGAAAGGTTTTCAAAATTCTGAGCAATGATGGGTTCCGGAATAGAAAAGCGAATCTGATTCGTATCCGGGGCGAAGTAGACCGTGAGATGCTCGACATTTTACGGAAACCAAGATCTTGAGAAGTATCAGTTGACAGGCAAATGTCGGACTCTGCAAGTATGATAGACCTACACAAGCCATGAGAGGCTACCAACGTAAGGGTTCTCTATGTAACCGGGAGATATCTAGAAGGCCAGTCAGACACTATTTCAATGCAGAAACTAGCTAGCGGGACTTATCTTCACGTCAAAGGAAGCGCTGCTGAGCTTCAAAGCCCCTGTGTCGGGGCCAACTCTCTCATACGCGCCGAAGACCCAATCGTAGGTCGCCGGGTCGTCAGGGTCTATATCCGTATCGTTGATGGTGTTGCTCGATTGTTCACTGGATTGAGGCATGGCTGATGTAATCTCTACAGAATCATCGAAAGGCACGAGAGAAACATGAAGCAACCATAGCAGGATTCATATTGACAAACTTGGCGATGGTGAGATATTTAATGCTCGGGAAATGTTCATGGGTAGACGGAATGGGGCAAACGGGGGTTTGGGAGAAGCTAGAAGAGAGCTTTCGGCGAAATCCAAGTGCGCTTAAGAAGAAATGTTTTATCCGACGGTGGCCTCCTTTTACTGGAGGGTTTCGTACCTCGTTCTCTATCTGGCAAGTGCATCTAAGGACTTTCTTACAATATTTGAGACTAGTTGCCTGGTCCTGAGACCTGGGATCTGCGTACCACAAGGCGGTTGCCCGTTTAATGAAACGCTGTGTCTATTCCACGCAGGGCAGCTACGAACAAAGGCAAGACAGAATGATCAGCCTTTTACGCGGATGCCGCATTTCACTTGAACAAAGCGCATTGGCATATTCCGCTTCACTCTGGAACCGTCGCCAGCAATGTACGACAACGCGCCAAGGCCACGGGCTGGGGTTCATTTACATGAGCAACCTCCAGGCACCAAGAAGCAGAGCGGCGAAACCGGTACACACTCCCATCAGCCATTGCAGCGTCTGGAACTTGACCTGCTCAAGCTTCTCGCGCAGCGCCGCCACCTCCTGCTCAATCTTTGTCTCCGTCTCCTTGATCTTGAGCTCCTGGCCGACAGCCTCCTCGCGGATGCGACCCTTCTCCAGGTTCAGGTCCAGGCGGACGCTGGCCTGGGTCCGGCCGATCTCGTCGCGCAGCCTTGAGCTCAGCTTCGCAATGTCGTTGCCGAGCTTCTCGTGAGACGCGCGCGTCGTGCTCGACTCAGTGCTATCGGCGGAAAGGAGTTCGGAGCGCAGCTTGGCAAAGTCGACCTTTTGCGTGTAGGTTGCCTTGGCGGCGTCTTCGCGGAGGACCATGGTTCGGGTGAGGTTCTGTATGCTGCTCTGCTGTTAGCAAGATGGTGTGCTGACTGAGGGCGCCGTCGCATACCTTTCTTGTATTACATCGTTCAAGACCTTCATGGTGGCCTCGGCCTGCACCTCCGTGAAGCCCTCGCTCTTCATTCGCTGGACGAACTTCAAGGTATCAAAGTGATGGTCTCGTTGTCTTGAAGGAGTCGCATGGAAGGACCTTGTGATGCCCGGACTCGCCAGTATCGAGGCGCGCTCGGTCTTGAAGCCATTGCTGCGGCATCTCGAAGGTATATTCGACTCGTGGAAAGTACTGGTTCGGGTGTGCATCCGACGGCGCGAGCTCGGAGGGAGTGCCGAAACAGGCCGCAGGGCTTGGGATGCTGTCGCAGGACCAGTCCAGCTGAGTCTAGGAAGCAGAAACCTCGGAAGGGCGTCAACGGCTATTGCTGTCGGTTTAGCCATCTTGTGTGTATGTGTGATTTTATTGTGTTGGTGTTTGAAGAAGCAATCTCCAATCCCCAATCCCAGGGGAGATTACCTATCTTGGTGCTAGCAGCACGGGCGGGAGATTGGGAATGACTAGCACCCAGTGACGGCATGTCGTTGCAGCTGATCCACTAGGAAGCGCAACTTGCCGAAGACCGGCCGCGGGTGCCAAACACTTGGAAGGCAGGAAGGCAGGGGGGTAACGCCGCAAAGGAAGGACCCTTCTTTCCTTCCACCACTCTCAGTCTTCCTCGTGCCCGCCCATTTAGGTCGTCCAGTCGGGTCGGTTCAATTGGCTGCCTGAGGCACGGACCCTGCCAAAAAATTCTCGCAGCACACTACAAAACGCGACTTGCGCAGCGCACCTTTGCTCTGTTTTCCTCTTTTCTTCTTCATTATTGAACAACGCAAAATAAAACATTCATGTTCTCGTGAAAACAATTGTCTGTTGAGAGGTTCGCTCTTTTGCTGGACCCAGGACCATCGGACACGGAGATCGAAATGGAGAAGGAAGCGAACAATCTTGGGTGCGGTGCCCCTCGGCCTACGGGCACGTGAGGGGGACCGCAATGATTGAGCGTACATACATTCGCCCATCGTAAATATTTTGATGGCCGCTTATGATGAGTAGAGGATTGCCTGGCTTGTAGTCTGGCTCATGTGGAACGCACCGGCCTATCAAGTTTTTCAAATCCTGGAATTTTGTACTGTTAAGTACGGTGACAGCTCAAGCCTCGGCTCGTCTATCGACCAAGCCTGCTCAGCGCAACATGCAGCCTCCGCTCCTTCCTTCCGCGAATGTTAATCTTGTCGGAAAGAATACTCGAATTACTCTCCAAGACACTTGCCGGGAGCTCGAAATTCACCATTGAGATACTGGATAGTCCGTGCTAGGTAACCATCCGACACTGTACATTCCTAGCAGACAAGAGATGATGTCCATCTTCAAGATAACATTACTGCTTCGCGAACAAGACGAGCGTCTCAATCGGATCCCGACTGGCTACCCCTCGTTAGCTCGCGGGGATGGGGAGCGTCCAGCTAGAGGCCTGATCACCACCACACATGAAATTGGCGTCGGGAGGTTCTTTCCTCCATCGCCTCTACAATTACAAAACAAAAGACGACATCCTGCGTCTCGTCGGTGGCAAGTAGCCTAGTATCAGAAGAGAACACAATGGAAGTGTATGTTTGTGTTTGTGTTCGGGTCACTTATCGTTTCTGTCCACCCTTTTTCTATGTCAACACTGTCTCGTCGAATCCTGGCTCGGTGGCCAAAATCTTGACAATATTCCACATGGGAGAAGAAGAGTAGCTCCATCGAAGTTAATGTGCGGATTCGGCAGTAATTGCTGTGAAAAGTCTCGTTAGTCAAACAACTTCCACCAAGATATCAACATAAGAGAGTGTCCCAACATATCTCTACGCAATGGCCTCGAGCAGCTCGCGCACATCAGTATTCATGGCCTTCAGATCGCGAAAAGCCTTCCTCGTCGCGGGATCAACCGAGCGCGTCCAACAGTCCAGATTGTGGCTTTTACAGAATACCTCGGCCTCAACAGTCTGAGCCTCGTCTCCACCTCCTCACCATCGACGACGTCGCGCTTCAATCACATCAAAAAGGACCCCAGGCCGGCTACACCAGGGCTTTTCGGGTGGACACCATCACCACCACCCGTCTCAACATCGCGCTTCCAGCACGGCTATCCAATGAACTTCCCATTGCACCAAACCCACTCCGCCTTCAACGCACGGCGCGGAAAGGTCTCGGTCCCTGGTGTATCAGCCACTAAGTGGTTCCCGATGTCCAGCACGCCGTAGTAGAAGAACGGATCGTCCTGCGAGAAGGCAACGACGTCGGCGAGCTCGTCGAGCGCGCGTTCGGCTTGAAACGCGGCGCCACTCCGGGCGTGGGAGTTGAGGGCCTGCGGGGAGTCGCGGTCGACGACGAGGTCGTCCTTTGTGAGGGCGATGGCGAAGGTGGCGGCGCTGCATTTGACTCTCCAGCAGCCTTGGCCTAGGGACTTGCACCGGCCTATCTTTCTGCCTGGCCAGGTGAATTTGTATTTGTAGGGGTCTGCTTCCGGGAGGGCGATGGCGTTGGCGGTGATGGCCAGTATGGCCAGGATGGCTAAGAGTGAGAGGTACTTCATGGTAGATGGACGGCGTGAGGATCTCGCGGGGAGCTCGTTGGAAGACGTTTAAAAGAGCTAACTCGATTAAGATGATGTTGAGCCGGCTGGTTGAATTTCGGACTCGTTGCGATTCCAAGGCTTGCTGCTTGCCTGCTCGTTTGGATGTGAACTGGAACGACCGGAGACGAGCAACAGCTGGATCTAATCATTATCCTCACAGACGAGTATTCGCAGCCTGTCTACATATAGCCAGAGTCTTCGAAGTCCGAAGTCCTTGCCATGTTTGGTGGCGTTCACCAAAGGAGAAGCGTCTTCTCCTCATGGTTCACAGTCTTTGTTGTTGTTGAGGGGTTCTGTTCTCAGACTTTGGCCGCGGGTGTTTGGTTCTTTCCAAAGGGGGTACAGACAATAAAAGACTTGCGTCTCCCCCCCTTCTTCTCCTGGGGATACAGAAGGTAGTGAAAGGTTGACCAAGGACAAATCTGGGAAACCCCCGCGCGACGCTAGACTGAGGATGAGAAATTTCGGACTTTGATGGGAGAGTCGAATGGTTCAAGATCATGATGGCCCAGCGATACCTCATGGCGTCTTATCACATTGAAAGCAAAAGCTCTAGCCATATGAAGCAGACGTTCATGGCTGATATCATGTAGTGGTTCCGAAGTAGCATGGCTGGTGCTGGACCGACCATTGTTGTCACAGTGTTGGTGTTCATGAACTTCCCTAATGAGGGCACAGCGGGGAGCAAGGTTTCGGTCAAACGTGTATATCTAGACATTACTCCAGTCGGATAGCTGTCTCCTGATTAGTTGGATCAATCAACGCTTTCCAGGACACAGGTGTAACGACGCAGGTAATCAAGAGATTGGGCATTGGTGAGATTGAAGTTCCAAAGGAGCAACTTGGAAGACTCGTCAATTGACGTCGAAGCTTAGAGATAGGAAATGACGTAGAGGCAGTAAAGTTGATGATGGGACTCTCAGGTTGTACATCCAGGTCGAACGAAGGGCAGAGCTTATTATCGACACCAGCTTCATGAAGTTGAGACTCTTAGTTGCTCCAGAGTGAAGGGATTCGAGAATGTGCTGTGCTTCGTAACGAAAGAAGACGCAACGCCCCCCATAAAGATCTCTGTCACCGAGATTGCGTTGGTCTTCGGTTTCAAGTTTCCTAGGCCAAGTCCAACAATGGCCCAATTCGACAGAAACGAGAATCTTCCCGGATTTTAAGATCTTTGCGTGAGTTTTCAAGTGCCACCGTCAACGTCCCAAAACCCTAGCTTCCCCGCGTAATCCATCTGTCCCGCCAACACCCTTGGCCCCTGCCTAGCGGCACACGTCCGCCGTCAAGGGTTCACTGGGGGCGAGACCAATCCAGGTTCAGATGACGGATCAGGATATCTATCCATCGACGCAACCCCTTAAACCTCCAACGTTTGTGCCAGGCCTTTTATCCAGATCTTTGGCGAAATTGAAGAAAAAGGTTGGAAAATGACTATTCGCGCAATGACTACTTAGAAACTCGAGGTGGCAGTGATAGGTAGTATACCATGATACGAGGGAGCAATGTCTGATGATCAAGGCTCCGGACTCATATCTTCCGGTACAAACTCTCGCTGCCGTGCTGACAACTTTCATTATTCATGAGACTCCAGGAGGGGACTTGGGATCTATATGCAGACCGGGGACGGCTTATTGAAGGGTGAGGCGCCTGCCTACTCTTCCGGTGCCATCTTGATTCCCGAGCTCTCAGACTTTGGGCAGCCAAGCCAAAGCAGGGAACAAACAGCATGCAAACCCTTCTCGAACCGGTGGCCTGGGTCTCTTAGTGGCGATGACTGATGGGGCTACCTCGTTTGATGAGGCTCCTTTTGACAGTCCTATGGTGGTACCTTCCCTTCTGCCTGCCATAGCCAACAGTCATGGAAGGAGACAACCATGATAATGAAGGCAGACATCGAGGAAGAATGGTAAGACTCTAACGTAGGCCCTGGTCGTCCGCTCATTGTATCCTTTCTCCTAGTTTTCGTGTCCGTGTTCTTTCCCGCCATGAAGTAATGGTTAAGTGAGACTGCAAGGCAAGGGAGCGGGCTGATTCGTGCCTAAGCATACGAGCCCGCGGCGTTCTTCAACCTCAACAGGACTAAGATGCGCTTTTGAAGGCTCGCAAATTAGTCTTGTCCTGATGAAATTTGACCGCAGGGTGTTTGGTTGAGGGTTCCAATCCTTGGATTTGATAGCCAATGCTCATTACAGCGAGGCCATTTTTGCTCATCCAGTAAGTCGGACCACTGCCAAGAACTGAAAGGTCCCAGACACACATACAACCGATAGAACTTGAGAGCAACTGAATTTCCAAATACATGAATGAGTTTGAAAAACGTTTTGCGGCTTACAATATCGATAGCGCCTTGCCTAGGTCGCTTGGAAGGGACGGAATCTTGAGGGCGATGCTGCGCAGTGAGGAGCCATGAATATACCTAGGGCTGAGAGACGACTGCATGTGTGATGAACACAGATCCCAGTGAGGTGACTCTTGCTTCTCTCAAGAGAGCGAGCAGAATTTCACTTGTTTTGCTGGAGATGGGCATTTTGAATCGTCATGGAAGATGTAGCACGCGTTTCCCAAACCCTGAAAGTATGTGGCTTTCATATCGTCGGCGGCGAATATGAGTTGAAAAATTCATTCAGAGTCACGCCAGCTCAGGATGAGTGCATGCGATGAAGTCACTGGGAGCGTTTGGCAAGTCTCCCGTATTTGCTGGTGGACATGGGAAACAACACGGTGGTGTCTCAGATGCTAACCGGCGGCGGGAGTGCAACCACTTCTGTTATGGGGGATGTTTGGCTGGAGGGGAAAAAAAGAAAAAGGCGCGTCGCGCTTTGCTGTGCGAGACTGTGAGTACTGAGTAGATGATGGCGTTGATTTCAGGGGAGGGTGTCTAAGAACATGACGATGTCAGACCTAAGCAGCCCAAGGTAAGTTCGATTGAGATTTAGCGCGGTCAATTGCTCGGAAGCTAAATTTGGAGTCGAGTTAGATTGACATGCCTGTGGGATGGACAGTTAGTGAGATTGTGAGCACACCGCCAGTTCTGAGATCTCCAACGACTCCAAATTGGAAGGTCCAAGGGCGGGAGGCTCCCGAGGTGCGGGCGGAAAGCAAGTTGGAAGGTTGGAAGGTAGACTCCAAATGGCAGGAGGTTCGGCTCCGGAAATTTACACCAAAGAAAAAAAAAAGTCGCACAACCGCAGACTCGAATTTGAGGCATGTTTGCTTGACTACTGATGACCGGTCTGTCGTTGTCTTGGCCGGATTCGAGCAAGACAAAAAAAAAAGGACAGTCCCGAGCGTCGCACTACTTAGGTCGTGAGACGAGCCTCATTGCTAGTCCTTGTCAACTAAGGGAAAGGAGGTTGAGCTAGCATCAAGTCGGTCAATTGGGGGGCGAGGCGACTGAGGCGAGCTGTGTTATGATGTATGCTCGAAATGGGGGCGAATTTGGATTGCAGGGTGAGATCATCAACCGTGGTGGTCGGTATCGGTGTCGCTAGGTACAGTAGGTAGGTAGGTAGGTATCACGGTGCATGACCTCACCTCAAGCGGGCGGCGGCAGCGGCAGGTATTTCAATAACCGCCAAGTGCGACGGTTACACTACGGATAAGACTATCTCACCTGAGTCAAGTTCCCCAGATTAAGTTCCGAACCCGCCATGTCTTGTTTCTTGTTCGGGGGGTCTCAAAGGAAACTCAGTATTTACTTACCCCAAGTTATCTGAGGTTTTGGACAATAAAAACCCACGCACTTAGGACAACTGTAAGGTACGTGCCTGTGCCGGATGGATCCCCAAGGCTTCACCATGGAACATGACGACACCTTATGCATGGATATCGGGATGATGAACGTGGGGAGGCAAAGAGATGAAGCCTTGGTAGGATCTTGTTACTGTAAGGATGATGAGATGCTGCTTGCTGCTTTGCACGTGTGTGGCCAACGGTCAAGCGCCGATCATGAACCGGTCAGGCGGTGAGGTGCATGCATTTTGGTGGGGCGGTGTCGCGGGCCGCCAATGCCGTTATTTCTTGCCCGCTGTGCTGTGCTGCTGCAGTTGCTGCTGCTGCTAAGGCAAGTCACTACGAATACTGCCCTCCACCTGCGTATCCGTACATACCCCGTAAGGTAAGGTAAGGTAAGGTAGAGGAATGACTTGCCTTCCCAAGCCTCCCCCATTGCCCCCCATTTACCATCCCCCGGGCCATTACTTCCCCCATTGCGATTTGCGGCTTGAGCTGCCCCCCAAGCTTGCAAAGGCCAAGGGCCCCCCCAAGGAAGGCCCCAACCTCTCTCCACGACCCCGCAGTAATTTACATGGTGCCAAAATCGTCATCCCGATCCTCTTTCTTCTTTCTTTCCCATACCGTACTTACTCTACCTACCTTACACTTCTCTCCAACATTCCAACCTTTGAAAACGTGTAGGAGAAACATTAAGACATACAGACAAAGGAGACCCTCACGATACCTGCGATACCAATCATGGCTCCATCAAAACGAAAAGACCCCAATGCATTTCCCACGCGCCAACTGGCCGTTCTTGGTACGCTCATCCTCATCCTCTCTTCCAACTTTCCCCTCCGTCTTATTCTCGAGAAACTCAGATAAGGATTCTCTTCTTATCAACGCTGTCCAGTGCCATTCAATGGAACTCACTGCGACTACGGGCTAACACGCGCTTCATCAACGAACAGCGATATGTCGATTCTCCGAGCCCATCGCCTTCAATTCTATTCTGGCCTACACCTTTCAGATGGTTAAAGATCTCGGCATGGAGGAAGATGCCGGTTTCTACGCAGGTCTATTGATCTCCGCCTATGCCGTCGCCGAGGCCATCACCTCAATGGGATGGGGAACACTGTCCGATCGCATCGGTCGCAAACCTGTCGTGCTATTTGGTCTCGTCGGTGTTGCCATCTCGAGTTTGATTTTTGGTTTCGCAAAGACGTATTGGGTCGCTTTGCTCGCCCGTTTTGTTGGTGGCGCTCTCAACGGCAACGTTTCCGTCATGCAGACCATGGTGGCAGAAATGGTCAAAAATCCCGACCATGAACGTGAGTCTCTCTCTCTCTCTATACGCCGGTGTAATTATCGGCGCAAATTACGGCGAACGACAGCATACTGATTTTTTTTTTTTTGTTGGGGAACAGCCAAGGCCTACGCCGTACAACCCTTCGTATGGACACTGGGCGGCATTATTGGCTCTGCTATGGGTGGTTTCCTCGCCCAACCCGCCGTCTACTACCCTTCGGTCTTCTCGCAGGATGGCGTTTTCGGCCGGAACCCCTACTTGCTCCCGAATCTCGTGTCTATGGCAGCAATTTCCCTGGCCGTCCTGCAGGGTGCTTTCTTCTTGGAGGAGACTCTCGAGTTGGAGGAGGACGATGACCTTCACAATGGTCGCAACAGCGTCGCCGTGGACGATGATGACGCCGTCGATGAGACCACGCCACTGCGCCGCGCACCCATCCGGACCTTCAACCCGCGTCGGTCTATTTCCACCAGCCATTCGCGACCGCGCTTTGCGGAATCGAGCTTGCCTTTGCCATTCGAGCACGACTTTGACCTCAGGAGATCGTCCTTTGGAACGGTACACTCAATCAAGGTCATACCTGAAGATCTGCGCCAACACCTTTTGAACTCTCGTGCCCAGGCGACGGGCCAGAAGAAAGTCAAGACATTCAACAAGACCGTCGTCATGCTCATCATTGCCTTCATCATCTTCTCGTACCACCAGATGGCCGCCGGTACCCTCTTGCCTACGTATCTGCTCGACGATCCTTCCGACAAGAAGCATCCGCGCGGACACCTCGATTTGCGTGGCGGTCTGGGATACTCCCTCCACGACGTCGGTGTGTATCTGGCCATCAATGGTGTTCTTGGACTGCTCATTCAGGGCCTCATTTTCCCCATCTTTGTAGAACGCGTCGGTGTTTGGGGCTCCTTCATGTCCATGATCATCGTATACCCATCTGCGTATTTGCTGCTGCCTTTCCTGTCCGCGCTTCCCGAAAGTCTCACCGAGGCTGGTATTTGGTTCTCCCTCATCATGCAGAGTTTCTACGGTATCATCATTGGCCCAGTCACTCTTATCCTGATCAAGAACGCAACGCCCACATCGCAAGCCCTCGGAAAGGTCAATGGCGTGGCCATGTCCGGTGCCTGCCTGGCGAGAACCGTCTCCCCGCCCCTCGTGGGAAGCATTTACAGTGTCGCTGGTTCTGCCGCCGCCTGGTTCAGTTGTGCCCTCTTCGCCGTTATTGGATTGATCCAGGTCATCTGGGTGCCCAAGAAGCATATCGACGTGGACCATGTTGAGATTGACAATGCCATTTCGAGACGCTTCTCGGTTACCTCCATGAGGAGAGATAGCATCGAATCAACCCGGGGCCGCCGCTCGAATGGTGCTGTTTAGGTGGATGAGAAAACGAAACTTCGAAATGTCTGCACCTACCGGGGCGAGGGGGAGTTTTCCAACGACCATGCTGATTTTATTGGCTTCTTTGACCCTTCCATCTTTCTCATCATACCTTTGTTGCGTTCTATGGCATTGGCATATGTGCGAAGCTGTGCGACAACATTCCTCATTTAATGAGCTTTTGGGTAATGGTCTATCATGGGGTGTTTTGATATTTATCTGATCTTTTTTATTTTGGTGTTGATATACGCGCTCATGGTCTTATGAAACCTTTCTCCAGAATGGAATGCAGGCGTTCTATATATACACGACTCTTGCTTTTAATGTAGGACAACATTTACGGATGATTGTTTACTTTGCGGGAGTTAGCCACACATACGAATTGACTTTATTCCAATCTTTCGAAGATCGGTCTTCATCCCCCTCGGACGTGTTTGCGATATGCGGCCTGCGGAGAACAGACGACGGAACGAACCCCGGCAGCCGTGGATATCAGATGGCCATTTGGGCACAAACGTCGGCAGAATTTCTGACGTACGCGGTTGTTGACCGCGCTACTGAAAAGTTTAAAGAGTAACCGCGAGAGGTCATAGCTTTTGAGATAAGGTGGCCTAGCTAGGCTCAGCCCGTGTTAGTGGATTCGGTGTTTGTTCAACTACCGCGGAAGACATGTGAGAGGCTAAGATGGTGTAAGTCGTGACATGACCAAGAAAGATTTGATATTACGATACATAAGTACCGGATTCTTCAAGGATAGTACTGCATAAATTTTCAACCTCGATGTTTATTGATAGGATATCGGACATACATGTACCATGAGGCATTAGCAGCATGTCTTTCCATCAGCCAAGTCTGCGTGAGTAGAGGTGGATTATGAAAGTTACGTCGTTTGTATTCATCTGTTGATATTATTACAGATTGTCCAGTTGTTCGCTTTTCGAGTTTTGATGATGCAATTAATGGTAATGACGGAACACTACGAACCATGATGATGGGAGAGCATCAAGTGGTTTTTCATCTTTCATATTTTTTTTTTTTTGACAACCAGAGTGATGCTTTTGCGAATGTTGCTTACTGATATGGATGTGGTGTACAAGTCAAGAATGCCCGGGACGAATCAATCTTAAAGAAAAATTGTTTTTCGTGCTCTGTTGCTCTGCGGTCTCTCTTGAGTACTAGGTAGTCATGGTTTGGAAAGCAAGTCTAGGCTGCCTTACTTTTCCATAACAGTGTCTGCATCCGTCTCTACAGCCTCCAGTTATAAATCAAATCAAAGATATCGCAATTTACAGATGGATCAAACCAGGGTTTTCCCACTTCAGTATTTCAACCAGAAAGGACATGGATCTATGGGTTTGCCAAGGTACGGGCGGCCGATGAACTTACGCTGCCTGCGATGTATGTCTCCGCCCGAGATCGTGGAGCATCGCGATATGGTTGCAACGGAACAGATCAAGGCCTGTCCCCCGTATGCGGATCAAGGGGTCGCTTGGGACCGGGGCATAAGTGGAACTGGCATGCTTTCTTTCTTTTCAATGGGTATGATTCGATTGACATTGCCTGCCATGCTCAATTTATGAGAAACCAGGCAAACGAAACACGCCAAAACCTAAGAGCTTGCGAAGGACGTCTTGATCATAGAGAACCGTTTCTTGCAAGAAGGGTCGTAATCCCTCTGATTTCTTCATGGTACTAAAAATAATGCGAGAAAATACGCTTGCTAGTTCGCTTCTGAATTGTTTGAATCTCAAAATGGTATCGTGTGAAAAAATGCCTTGTGATCTCCTTCTAGTCCTCCTCCCCTTGCATGTTCTCCTCAAACATCCTGCTTCCTCTCCTTATCCGTCGGATCTGTCCACGACTCGGGTTCACTCGGCGTCGCGGCATGCAGCATCCTCCCCTTGGAGACAATACCGCCCGGATCGAGTATATTCTCCGTACTATCCTCCGGCTTCGTCGTCAAACTGCCCCCACTCACAGACGTCCCATCCGCGTCCCGGTTATCGATCCCCGTGCCCAGCGGCTGCATCCCGCTCCGCTTCGTCCCCCACGTCTGCAGCGCGTACTTTGAGCTCTTCGGCCTCGAGGCACCGCCGCCGCCGGCGGTGCTGCCCGCATTGCGGCTCCGCTCGGCAAAGTACTTCACCATGGGCGCCAGCGTCGGGACGCAGGAGATGATGATGCCGATGCATGTCTCGACGACGGACCACTGGATTGATTTGGCCGAGTCGAGGTAGTTTACGAGGTTTTTGATCGTTTGGATTCGGATGGCTTGGATTATTGTGACGAAGATGCCGAGAATGAAGAGCGCTAGGAGGACGATCTTTTTGCGTTTTTGGATTTGGGATTTGAGGATCACGGGGAAGGGGAGGAACATTCTGTTATCACACAAGTCTGTAATCAGTAACGGGGTCTTGGGGGGGGGGGGGGGGGGGTTGATGCCCTGCACGTAAAGGGTGCATGATGGGATGTGGACTTACATTATCACGTCAAAGACGATGGTCAAGGACGAAAAGGTTAGATAGAATGTGATTGCGTCTACGCAGTGGCCTACGTCTGCTGGGATCGATGGATCATACTGCTTCTCGATCTGGTCGCGTGTTGCCGTGTTAGCCAACACATGGCCTCGGCAGAAGGGGGCGGGGATGTCGAGAAAGACTTACCGGTGTGCATAGGAAGATAAAGACGCATATGAAGGCAATGTGTCCCATCGTACAAGCTACCGCCACGATGATGGTGCCAATCTTGTAGCCGCCGGCCGGGAAGAATCGCAGATAGGAGAACAGCAGGCTCATCTTGAAGCCCCAGATGCCGAGGACGTAGCTGATGGTGCATTTGTCAGCTTAGTTCCGCATTGTCTTGTTGTAGTTCACTTTGCACGCTGCAAAATCCTTACAATGGACCACCGATGAATTGAAGCTATTGGAATGACAATTAGCAAATGCCGGGTAGATTCTACGGTTTGTGAGTCTTCTTACTTTGCCAAAGGGAAGCACATTTTGCGGAGGCATGTCTTCAAGTCTGGTGATTCCCAAACCCCATTTTGTCTCTACATTTCGGTCAGATTTGAGTCTGGAACTAGTTCAACGAAAGAGGGATTCCTACGTATTACACTGCAGACTGTGTAGCCGCAAGCTCCAAGCTATAAAGTTGTGTTAGTACTTAAACAGCATGCAAAACGAAAGAGACTCTAGTGTCGACTTACCCAGGAGACGATGATCACCCAGTCATCTAGAGATTCACTTTGTCAGTCTTGTCCTGTGCGATAGAACCCCCCCTGGCGCTCTCGAGGCCGATCCCACATACCGTAGCCAACAGCCTTGACAAGCGTTGTCCGGACATACCACCGCAAACAAACCAATAAGAGCGCAATGATGGTAAAAGTCAGGCAAACTGCCGTTATTCGTGGTCCATCAGTCGGTACATCGTCAGGCGTATTGTACGTCCAGCCAGTCATGATTGGGTCCAGGACGTTTGGATGTCGACAGCAAGAAACAGGCCAGTTGAAGGGAGGACGGGGACGAATCATTAAATTTGGGACCGCCGACCTTAAAGAACAGTACAGGACAGCCACACCCAGTTATACCGCACTAGTAAGAGAAGGTAAAGTCCATTTTTTGGCTGCTGCCCTCTTCTTTCTCCACGTACTCATAAAAGCCCGTCTCCGAACCCAGTGGTGTGGCAGACCCTTGCTGCATCATATTTCGTTGCGGCTGCGGCACTGCATGTGTGAGGCGTCGAAATTGCGCGAGTGGCTTGCTAAAGAGATTCGGGCTTTCCAAGTTCTCCACAAGTGCCAGGGCGGTAATTGACGATTACCTACCGGTATGTGCCCTCCCCTTGTCTCTAGATATCCGTACCTTACCTTACTCTGGAAGGGAAGAAAGACTACGGGTACACTAGGCCAACCGGAGCGCGTCTAAGAAGATCAAAGGGAAGCCCAGCCGGGCGGGAAGGATGCTGCAGTCTGCAGCGTCGTTTCGATGGTGGACTTTGTGTGCGCATTTGCCGCATGCGTAGTCACTAGTCGGCGAAGGCAAATCTTAAGCTCGTGGCCACCATGCGGGGAGGAACAGGTCCTGACGTTATGGCAAGGTGTGACATAGTTTAGCGTCGGCGATGGCTTTTTGGAATATGGCTTTGTTCCTGGAGATCCGGCTCCGAATTCCAAAAAAGCTCGCCGAACGGCACGCATTGTGTCTCAGTCACAGAGACTCGGACGGAGACAGACACCACCAAACCACACCTTATCTAGATCTGTGTCTCGACTCTTGAGGGGGGGCAGCCTTCCCTCCCTGGTTGTCAGTCGCCTTCAGGCCTGGCTCCCCTCAAGATCTTGTATCTGTGAGACCCTCGCAATGTCGCGAGACCATGCAAAACACACCATCCAAGACACTGCTCGTATCCCTCACGCTCATCTATTTTCAAACTTTCGCCTCGCTTTTCCTGGCCCGAGCAAGGCCTGGACCAGTGGACGAACATCTGATCGATGATCGATCAAATCGGTTCCCCAAGAAAGCCCGTGTTCCCGCCCTACTATCCATTGCACGTACGACGATACGACCAGAGAGGGAGGGAAGAGAAGAAAAAAATAATCACCCTAGGAAGCTGGGGTTCGCAAGCCCGGCAGGGCATAAAAAACGAAATGAACCACAGGGCCGCCTTTTGTGATATCTGATCTTTATAGAGGGCTTCCAACCTGTAGAAACCCCGGTCCTTCGAGATTAAGGTTTCGCGGATGACCCAGGTCCGTCCCGCCCAGGCGTTCACGAGTCAAGCGCGGGCAGGGGTGCCGAGATGCGGCGAGCCCGGCGAGGCAAATCGGGAGGCCGGACCACCCCCCGGATGTGGGTCCCCCGCGCCGCGACCCTTGCCCGTTCACTTCAATACTATAAACCACCCCCCGCGCGCGGTTCCCACCGCCAAGATGAAGAAGTGCGGTTTTACACCGTTGGTTCAAGGGTTCGCAGCGGAAAGACGGCTTTTGGATTTCTCCATTTGACTGGTTTACCGAGGATTAGGCGGACCGAGGGACAGAGATTTTACACATATTACGGAGTACTATATGGTATCCGTGGTGCCCGGTCTGCTTACTGCGTATGCCCGCAATTTGTTGTTGGTCCCAGCGACTCGCCCGCCTGCATACTGGGGATGCAAGGTACGAATCGTCAGCAAAAAATGAGCCGACCAACGGCAGACGGCATCGGCTTGCGGGGGGCGCAGTGGTTCACCCCGACGACCCCCCGGAGATCATGTCCAGAATTGTGCAAAACCGCGCAGAAAGTGCTGGTCATTGAGTGGGAATATTGCGCCCTCTTGTATCTTTTGCCCAGTGGGCAAATAGGTAATACAGATTGAGGCAATTTAGTAAAGGGAAGAAAGAGTCCACTTTGGGCAGCGTCGCATATACAATATCAGAGCATCTGCCTCGTGTCAAACTTTTCCAAAGTGGTTTGTGTCTCTTTTGGCCCCCCCTCTCACCCCCTCTCCGCCTTTTCGCTCTCGCGACATCGTCCTTCCTCCGCCTCTTTTTCTGAGTTTTTTACTGCTCGGACTGTGCAGCGATCTGCGAAGGGAAGCTAGAGCCTAGAGAAAGCACGTTCCTCTCTCGAAATAACCTTACCCCCATTTGCCAAGATGCGCGTCTCGATCCTCGCTTCCTTGGTCCTGGCTGGCGGAAGCGCTTCCGTCGCCGCCAGGTGCTCGGGCCTGGGCAGCTCTTCGACAAACTCGACGACGACGCCTTCGTGCAAGTATCTCCCCGGAGATGCGGGATGGCCCTCTGCGAACACCTGGGCGCAGCTCAACGAGACCGTTGGGGGACGTCTGGTTGCTACCGTTCCGCTGGGGAGCGCATGCCACGGCGATGCTTACAACGCGACTGAGTGCGCTCGTCTTCAAGAGGCATGGCTCTACTCAGAAGTCCAGTGAGTCTTTTGTGATCCCTCTGTCTCTTTTCTCTCGTTCTTCTTCTCTTTTGCTTTCTTCCTCCCTCCGGCTCCTATGCAGTTTGCAGTCACACCTCCCTCTTTGGGGAGTTGCGTGACCCAAACCCGCGTCCCGCGCGTGTGAGAGATATCATGGACAAGGACTAATGACTCGTGTCCAACTTCATAGCATGGAGTCTTCCTCCTCGGTTATGGCCCCCCTGTTCGCCAACGCCAGCTGCGACCCTTTCACGGCGCAAGACGTCCCCTGCACCTTGGGCAACTATGTCAGCTACGCAGTGAACGCCTCTGGATCTGCGGACGTCCAGGCCGCGCTCAAGTTTGCGGATGAAAAGAATGTGCGTTTCATCATTCGCAACACGGGTCACGACTACAACGGTCGGTCGACCGGTGCCGGTGCCCTGGCCATCTGGACCCACTACCTCAAGGGAACCGAGATCGTGGACTGGGAGGATGAACATTACGCCGGCAAGGCCCTCAAGGCCGGCGCCGGCGTGCAAGGGTTCGAGGCCATCGCCGCCGCCAACGAAGCTGGGCTTGCCGTCGTCACGGGAGAGTGTCCTACCGTTGGCATTGCTGGAGGATATGTTCAAGCAGGCGGCCATTCTGCCCTGAGCACCATTTACGGCTTGGCCGCCGACAACACTCTCTCCTTCGAGGTCGTGACCCCGACAGGAGAGCTCCTCACGGCGTCGAGAGCAGAGAATGAGGACCTGTACTGGGCCTTGAGCGGCGGCGGCGGCGGCAACTATGGCGTCGTCACCTCCATCACCACCCGAGCTCACCCGGACGCCCCAGTTAGCGGCGCCAAGTTCGCCGTCACCGTCGCCGACAACGAGACGCTGTATCAAGTCATTGACGCCTTCCACGCCGCCCTCCCGGCCATCGTCGACTCGGGCTTCATGATCATCTACTTCTTCGGCCCGGGCTTCCTCCAGTCCCCAGCCATGACGGCCTACAACAAGACCCAGGCCGAGGTCGAGCAGATCCTCCAGCCCTTCACTGACTCCCTCGCCCAGCTCAACATCACCCTCCAGCCGAACCTCACCTCCTTCGACAGCTACCGAGACCACTACAACAACTACTGGGGCCCCCTCCCCTCTGGCAACATCCAAGTCGGCACCCAGCTCTTCGGCGGCCGTCTCCTGCCCCGCGCCGTCCTCCCCGACTTCGGCCCCACCGCGCGGCAGCTGGTCGAGCTGGGCGTCACCTACATCGGCGTCGGCCTCAACGTCTCGCATTTTGGTCATGACGGCGCCGACGAGAGCGCCAAGTTCAACGCCGTCCTGCCCCAGTGGCGCGACTCCATCGTCCAGGTCTCCCTGACCCTCCCCTGGAGCTTCGAGGTGCCCTTTGAGGACATGGTCGCTGAGCAGACGCGCATGACCGAGGTCGTGCAGCCCGTCATCGAGGCGGCTACCCCGGGTGCCGGCGCGTACATCAACGAGGCCGACTTCCAGCAAAAGGATTGGCAGGAGACGTTTTACGGCGTAAACTACGAGACACTCCTGGGCATCAAGAACAAGTACGACCCCAAGGGACTGCTATATAATGTGGCCGCTGTCGGTAGCGAAGCTTGGACTGTGGACAACGATGGACGCATGTGCAAGAGCAGCTGACTTGCTGAGAACAGTACCTCGCGCAAGGTCAGGGTCGCTCAAGCTACCTTACACTAACACTAAACCTCTGAATGTATAATGTGTACCTACTTATAGTAATATGCTATGAACATGACCTTATTCTACGCGTCGATCATTTCTCATCTTCTTGTTGGATGTCATCATTGATAATACCATCGAAATACATCTGGTGATTTCAACAGAGACCTCTTATAAACGGGCCTGGTGTAGTGTTTATTATGCTGACCAGCGGCCTTGAGCAAACCATCGAAGACGTTTTAAATTTTATGCACATCTTGATAAACCATTTGCTTCCCCAGAGCGCTAGAATAGCTTCGTTGCTCGAAATGTCTGTCAGAAGCTGAAGTATAGTATTCATAGAAACGAGTAGACGGATCAAAACTTGAAAATGACCAAATGGAGAATAGAGTCTTCAATCTATGGTGCAAGTATCTACGAGTTCAACCATACTACAAATGTTGATAGATACCAATTTTCGCTGTTGTGACTGTCTCTTGGTGGCCTTTACCTGTCTTTTCAGGGTAGAATTCTCTTTCTAAAATGTTATCACAGCCATATCTATACAAAAAAAGTCTCTTATTTTGCAGTAACCCCAATGGGCCGTCAGCATCTATCAAGCTTGTTGTATCGGTATACATTCAATAATCAGAATTGATAGCCAAGTAACTGTTTGGGTGAGTTCCTACTATAATTATCGTGAATTCTAATAACGATGTTACAAGATTTATCCCGCAGACTGGACATTCGTCATTATCAAGCCAAGGTACCAGGGCAAATGCAACGAATCAATATTCGCAAAACAGCGTCAAAAGTATGACCATTAAACAACCGACAAGCATCAAAACCCGCTCCCCAACATCGCCCCTCAA